ATATTGTTGTTTCTAAAAATCTACGCCTATTTTCAAACTCATACATTTATGCTTACATAGGAGCTGCTCATAGGACAATCGATTACAATAACACTTGTAATAGGGAAGATGCATATATAATATTTATGAAAATTTTATGATTAAAATGTTAAAAAAATATAAAAGAAATGCCACTGCAACGTTTTTATTTTACATAATGTTGTTTTTTAACAATTATTACGAATTAAAAATACTTGAAACGGAACGTATTTTAAAACACCAATCAGCGTTTAGTGACGTCACTCCTGTTATGACAACTTCTTTGAGGTTATGGTTGTTAAAGTAAATATTATTTTATGGGAATATTTATTGCGTTTTTTTACATTTAATAAAAATAAAAGGTGCGTTTATCAAAGCAGACTCCAGGAATTTACCAAGAGTTAGCGTTGACATGTTTATAACTTTTTTTGTCCAAAGTGCAGAGTTTTTAAGTGTAGAAATGAAAGGTACTAAATTACTACGGTATGTAAAAATCGTAGTTGTTAAACTTCGTATTTTATTTAGCGGCTTCTACAAATCTTACGGCGATAATGCAATCGGCTATGTCCAAATTAAAAGAGATGGAAAATTATGTACAGTAAAAGGTCGAGTTCTCCGGAGCATAAAGTACGTAAAGAAGGTTATCGTGTTACAGTTATTTTAAATGAAACGCAAAGCTTGGTTCAGTCCTGCCAATGTGAAGATTGTGCCACACTTTATCTAATTTTCGACGTCATTCTCCAACTGTAAAATTAAAAATATGTTATAGACAGGTTATGTAAGTATTAGGTAGGTTACTAATGCGTTTTTACGTACAAGCAGATTAATTAAGCATATAACAAGTATATTCGCTGTGATCTTCTCAGCATCGAATAATGGTCTTTGGAGAATAATTGTCATTTCTCTTCGCAGCTTGAAACCACTTTTTTTTCAGTTTTGGGTCAGAAGTTCCAGTCAAAAACAATTTATTTGGGAACTTTGTTGAAGTAGATTGGCACAAAACATGAGTCAACACGGCTTTTTTTCGGAATATTAGTGGTATTGTTATGATCACATGATGTTGATGGATAGTCCATTTTAAATTTTTCAAAAAAATATTTCGAAATTCGAAAAAATATGCAAAAGTACGAAAATTTAAAGCCAGCAACGAACAAGTACGACCAGTGACAGACAGGAGTGACGTCATCGCAAACATAGGTTCGTTTTCGCGCGAAAATTTAAATTGTCAATTTAAAACCGCATTTCTTCCGATAAATCACAATGTTTTAATTTTTTAATATATCTGTGGTTTATTCTACATGGGATTCTTTAAAATGAAAACAAAAATAAAAATATTGCATCTTCCCTATTCATGCAGCGCAGAAATTTCCTCAGTACTGCTTCTAAAGCATCTGTGTATTTTATCATTAAAAGGGATAGGCACAGCATATTCGAGTTGAGAGCGGATTAAAGTCTTGTATAAGTATGTGGAGTAAAATGAGTGCTAGATCTCTTTACAAATCCATACATTTTGAAGGCCTTATTTATGATTTTATCAACGTGCTCGTCGAGGTGTAGTTGACTGTCCAGAGTCTAAGTCATTAAGGCGGCTAAGTCTTTTATAGATTTAACATACTCCAATTGCACTCCAGATAACTTGTAACTAAAATTACATTTAATCTTCTTTGTAAAAGTAATAGCTTTACAATTATTCAAGTCAAGGAAAATATTGTTCTTAGTACAGTACTCAGAGAAACGATCAAGACCCTCCTGTATTTTGAGGTAGTCCATGATTTGTTCAACGGTATGAAAAATCTGTAAATTATCTGCGTAAAAACGAAAATCACAGAATTTAAAACCACTACCAATATCGTTTATGAAAATTATAAACAGAAGAGGACCCAAAATAGACCCTTACGGTACTCCAGATGTAATTGCAATAAGGTCAGACTCATAACCACTCAGTACTACTTTATATATATAAGTCACCACGTATTCCATTAAAGGCCAACTTTTCCAAAAGTATCTTGTGATCGACTCTATCGAAAGCTTTTCGGATATCGGTGTAAACAATGATGTCGATTCTGGCATGATTCTCTAAAGCTAGCTAAACTTAAATTTGACAACAGTGCATCCTTGTCATTCTCTATACAGAATGAAAAGGAGAGACTGATGTTAAATTTAGTTTTAAGTTTAGAGAATCACCCCAGAATCGACAGCATTATCTCCCTGCTTGTTACCATCTAAACTGTGAAATAAATATGATACATAGTGCAAAAGATTTGATACTGTCGATCGTTTTTTTAACAAAGCTTGTTGATTATATCTATTATATTGTTATGCAAAGAGGGAAAGATGGCGTTATGGACTAATCTCTCAAAAATCTTTGATATCACTGGGAGTATATAGATAGGACTGAAACACTCAATACCAGACTTATCACCTTAAAAACAGGAATGATGCGAGCTGTTTTGAATATAGGTATAAAACCATCCCTTAGGATCTTATTAAAAAGTAACTGTAAGGGCCTATGTACGGTAGAGGCAGTCAATATAAGGAAGACTGGTGGTATATTGTCAACTCCTGGTCCTTTTGTCGTATTTAATTTTTTCAATATTTTACTTCTTTTTACTATTTTAAATCTTTCGAGAATTGCAAGGTACTCAATATAAGATCAGATTTATGGTTGCACTCAGGAATGTTATCAATATCAAAGTTATCTGGTACGTTAGAAGCATTAAATACTGACTTAAAAAGGTGGAGAAAAGACGACATATCTCCTTTGGCTCGTTAGCGGCAACGCCACTGTATGATTTATGATCATATATATGATCATAAAATATAGACGTCGCCGTCTCAACTGTTTTGTTAAGGAAGAGTCTCTCTGAGTCAATATCAACGATATCCTTATTTATTAATTTATAGTCCCCTTTGTCAAAATGAAATTGCGTCCTAGGCATAGCGTTGGTATACGAAGAATTGTACTTCGTGGGAAAAAGTACATAAAATGGTGGGTGACGTTTATTAGCAGGCATTGGAGCTATTGGAGTTTCATCAAACGCGTGCCCGAAATATTGAAAATAATCAAATCGAGTATTCTGTTACTAGCATTTTTACATTTATTCAATTGAAATGAGTTTAATATCGACATAAAATTTATCAAAGCTTTTTCAGTTTGCGTATACTAACATTGGATAACAGGTATAATGCGATTCAAATAAGAATAGGAAAACCTCTATCTGTCAAATGTCGCTGGAAAAGTACGGTTTGCAAAAAAAAAAAACTTGGAACCCTTTTTTAGCACTCCGCTTATTCAAGAATAAAAACCAAACATTTTGTAAACAAACAATAACAAATATTGTAAATTAATATCGGTTGATATTTTTTTTCACTTATTGAGCTTTGGTCATGAATGGTTGATAACCTAAATCGTCAACCAATGTCACTTTAAGTTGCATTCAGAAACTCGATCACAAACTTTCATTGACATAAAGGATGCATGTTCGTATGTGACCTAGTAATAGTGCATGATTATTCATAACTACTCCGGCGGTAATGCAGAGATGAACGGAATAGAAGAGCTACAGTTTGTCTATATAGTCGTGACATGAATGTTTGAGGAACTAACATTATTCATGTGTCTGGCAAAACCAAACTTATGTACATCAACTGTCATCGAATTTCAGTTGTGGAACAGTTTTCCTTTTGTATTTTTTATTGTTTGGATTAAACTGTAATAAATTAAGACCAAACTACGCAGAAAGGTATAAAAATGAGTAAAAGTAAATCGGAGTGGCACGCGGGAAGTGATTTTTAAAGTTTTCCAGTATGTATAAATAAATAGGTAATGTATGTAGTACGACCATTTTTTTTGATACGTTGTTATTGTTCAACTCGGTCAAGTATTCTACCAATTTTGAATTAATTGCGTCATGTCAAGAAGTTATTGTTTCTATTCCGTTACATATTTTTTTACCTTTTTTCAGGAAAATCAGAGAGTCGGATAATCAACGAAGGTTTTAAGAATGATGGAAAGTTTGAAACTCCTGGGAAAACAGGCAAGGCCGACCAAAGAAAGAAATGGTCACATAAAGAACCATGGCTTTTAGTGAAGATGCCTATCACTAATTTTACTAACTGCACATTTACAAATTGTTTCTCTAAATAAACTTTTTATATACTCTAAAATGATTTTTAGTATTATTTTCTTAACAAGTGTGTTAAAAGACGTCGTATGATGATACTTGTGTGTATTGATGATTACCTAACGGCTCTGATCTCAATGGCACCTCAGCGGTAATCACCAACATTACACACTTTACACTATAAAGTACTATTTTATCTATAATAATTTTATTCTGATTCAATTAAATATGCTTGGTTAAACTTTTTATAAGCATAGGTACCTACTATATATAAAAAAGAAACATAATACGACTGTATAGTGTCTCTTATTAATTACCTATTTTACTTGAATGAACTGCTAGTATCAAAATCATTTTGGTCCGACTGTATAGGGTTGCTACATGCATACTAGTGGCACCATCATTTAATGTCACGACTGTAGATTCTGATTAATGTTTTTCATTTTATTATTAAAATTCGGTGGTTTTTTTTCTCAATTTTAGTAAATAAATGTTATTAAAAAAATCTGATGCTTTTTCTCACTTAATCTTAGTAAATAAGTTTTATTAGATAAAAAAATTTTTTTCTCACTCTACTTAGGGGGGGGGGGGGCAAATTTGGGGTTTTTTAAAGAGGTGGGGGGATAATAGGGAGGAAAATATTTTTGGGGAGAAAGAAATTTGGGTTTGGGGGAAATGGGGGTTTGAAATCTATCTACCGTCTACGTAACTGAAGAATTAGTGGAATACATTTCGTGCCAACTCCTCCAACTCCAAGAAACATTAGAATGCGCCGCGCCGCACCGACATTCTAATGTAAAAAGAAAAAGAAGATTAATATAACTAACGACAAGACTGTATGGGCATTGTTCCCTTTGCCTTCCATAAAACTGGAGAATCTTAAAAAATATAAATAAAATCAAAATAAATCCAGAAATCAGAGATACCTATTTTTATGTACTATTTTTACTTTGTTTTTAATGTGATTAACTATTGTTCATCAATATTTAGTGCCCTGAAAATGCCAGATAATCCGAGCAGTACTGATGGTCACTCTGAAGCTGATAGACTTCGAGGTGCGAAATGGGTGTTCCCATTTATTATTTGAGAATTCCCAAGCTAAAGCCTCAGATTTATTTGATCTGAGGCTAAATTAATAACCGCACTTTGGGTGTAGATCAATATTACGCACAGTGCATTATAATAATCACAAATAATTTATTATAGACATGGGCGTTTTTGGTTTTGAATGCAAACGGATATTTATCGGATTTCAGATTTCAAAATCGATTTTAAAATCCGTTTTTAGATATCCGATTTCAGATGTGCCGAACTAAGCCAATTCACTAGTTTGTGTTATGATTTGGTTTTATTAGCTAACGACAATCACAAACAATTATTGTAGGAAGCAAGGATACTCGTAGATTTCCTTCACGCTTTAAATCTAGGCTTAGGACTAGCAGAAAAGTTATGTTTACGGTTAAGAGTAAAACTTTTGCGGCGCATTTAAAAATCGGCTTATATACAATATATCTTTTTACATATTTTTTTAGTATTTTTTTTTGTTTGTTTTTATTATTTTGCAAACCATTTACAAAATTAAACCTTATTACTTCAGGTTAGCGTTGTAAAATGTAAGTTGCTCGACTTTTGATGTTCTTAGACGGCATCTCTTTTCAGTGATAAATAATCCCGTCTTAGAGAAGCGCAATAGATTTCCGTAAACAGCAAACCGAAAACGGACTTCCGAAAACGGAATCCGATTTAAATTTGGATACTATGGTGGTATTAGATCGCTAGCGTTTTGGTTCGGTTAGATTTCTGAAATCGGATTTTCTTGTTGAGAAATCGTTCGGTATCGATTTGTGATTCAAATCGGATTTTGGATTCGTTTTGATATATCGGACGCATGCCTAATTTATTAGTAATGTCAAAATTATATCTTTTAGAGGATGAATTAGCGCGAGAATTAGAACACAGCGACTCGAACGAAGATGACTCTCAAGAGATATCACTCGAAATAGAAGAGAAGCTGTTGAAAGATGAACCCGAATGTAAGTTTGTTATAACAATTAAAATATGAGACAATTTTATTGTTAATATTATTTTATACTAGCTGTTACCCGCGACTTCGTCCGCGTGGAATAGTATCTTTGGGTAGCATTTTTAATTATTTAATAAGAATCATTAGTAAGTATAGTAGGTATATTTAAAAAAAAAAAATTGGTTTACAGTAGGTATAAGGTACCTATGTATTCCATTGAGTGGCAGAAAGTACCTAGGAAAATTTATTGGTCCCTTATGTCCAAGAGACACTTACAGGGGCCAGCGTCACGTTGTGTACAAAAATATTTTAAAATGACCTAATTTAAATGATTTTTGTACACAACGTTTGCTGTTTTGTTATTATTTGTTAAACTGTGTAGATTGTTTGGACTCGACACTCGCGAGCACGCCACGTACCTGCTACTTTAAGTGTTTGCCCTTGCGCTTTGTTAATAGTCATTGCGAAGGCTGGTTTGAGGGGAAACTGGATTCTTTTAAACTGAAAAGGTAAATCTGTAGGGATCATGGGTATGCCGGGAATCAAAACTTGTTCATCTTTAGCTATTCCTGTCTTTATAATTGCTCTAATAATATTGCGTCCTAGCTGCGTAATTTGCAACCGAGTCCCGTTGCATAGTCTCGGCGCTTCGAGATTTCTCATTAACAAAACTGGAACCCCAATTTTCAGTCTCAGCTTATGTGACGGCACTCTCAGGAGCAGCTCTAAAGAGTTTAGAAACTCTGTATGATAAGATGTCACCTGTTCACTGTCCATGACAATATCTACTGACAAATATTCGACAACATCGCCTTGCACGTGTGACATCATTTGTTCATTGATCTGTCCCACGATTTCATTGGTCGGTGCTAATATTGCCTTTTCACACAGCCACTCTCTATTCCTCATGTTATATTCCAAACCGGGATAGACGTTGTTTTTAAGATCTTCCAAGTTGTGGACAGCATTACAAAATTCTTGATTTATTGTAATCATGCCGTTAGCGTCCGTAGTCATTCGACCTTCACCGATTTTCAATAGAGCAGCTGCATATTGCCCCGATTGCGTATCATTATGTAGTTGTACTCGCATGTTTTTAGTGAGACAAAATTTTTTTACATGCACCCATAATGTAGACGCCTTCAAACATGCTTTTATCTCATCTGCTGGAGTGCCTCTGGTAATGGGATTTATTATCATAAAAAAACCTTTACACCTAAAACTTTTAAATATCATGTTCCTAGGTTCAGTGGTTAAGATTTTGTATACAAAAAGTTTGGCTTCGTAGTTCCCAATCCCATACAACTTTTCAACCCCCTTTTAACCCCTTACAACCCCCTTTTCGCAATAAAAAGTAGCCTATGTCCTTTCTCAGGGTCTAGACCATCTGTATACCAAATTTCATTCAAATCCGTTCAGTAGTTTTGGCGTGAAAGAGTAACAGACAGACAGACAGACAGAGTTACTTTCGCATTTATAATATTAGTCCGGATAAGCAAATATTTTTTTAGTATTTACATAATTAAAAGATCTGTTATTACAAAAGCTTTACTTGTTTTATAAAAATGTGAATTATGTTCTTTTTAGATTGTTCATTTAATACAGCTGTATTTCCTTCAGATACAACTTTAATGAATTATGGTGAAAGTGTGCAGTCGTCAAGCAATGTAGAGAGTGAAATAGTGGAAACATATTCTGATAGCTCACAGAATGTAGAAACTGTTCACCAAGCTGATGAACTGGGAAATGTGTATACTGATAACTCTACCACATTCATTGGGTCACAAACTGATCTAATCACAGATCAATACGAATCATTCATAAACAACTATTCTTTTGACAAAACAAATATCATTGACACTCAATCTCAAAATGAACAGTTAGATAAAACAGATTTTAATGATGAGAATAAAGATAATATAGTAATGCCAGATATGAATGATTTTCAACAAAGTGAATCTTTAAGTAATTATGAGTCTCAAAATGCAGAAGATATGTTAATGAGTGAAAAAGAGAGAGAAAAGAAGAGTAAAAAAGAGTTGGAGGAAGAGGAGCGGGAAAAAATGCAGTATGTATCAAACCATTCTGCTAACTATAAATGTTTTTGCTAAATAAATTAAAACACAAATACAATTAAGATATGTTATGAGAAATTTCTTTTACACACACAATTGTTTTACAGAGTTTTGGTCTCCAATTTCACAGAAGAGCAGCTAGATAGATATGAAATGTATCGACGTGCAGCATTTCCAAAGGCAGCAGTGAAACGCCTAATGCAGACTATAACTGGAGGCTCAGTTGGACAAAATGTAGTGATTGCTATGTCTGGCATTGCAAAAGTATTTGTAGGCGAAGTTGTGGAAGAAGGTAAATTTAATATACTTTAGTGTATAAATTTACCCTTTCAATACTAATATCCTTTATTTACATTTTTATTTTTATATAGATATTTTTGTTTATTTTATGTTGTCTTGCTCTTCAGTAAAGACCTCTTCTGAATTTTTTCCAAATTTTTCTACATTTCGCTTTGTTTGTTCTAGTATTCCATCTTATAATTTATATGTCACGAAATGGGCCCTTATAGTGCATTAAATTAGTTATTCTATCATTTTGAATTGCAGCTCTAGAAGTATTGGAAAAGTCCGGTGAAGCTGGTCCCCTGCAGCCTAAACATTTAAGAGAAGCACTTAGACGACTCCGAATGAGAGGGGCTTTACCAACTAGAAAAGCTTACAGGAGTATGTTTAGACTCTAATCTAAAAACTGTAGATTAGCACAAAAGTACTCACTAAGTGTACATAATACAAATTTATTGTTGCTCTATGTAGTATTAGATGTAAATTAATTATTTTCTCAATTTTTCAATAAAATAAATTATAATGGTAGTATATGCATGAATTTGTTCTATTTATACTAACATAGCTAAGTAGCTTGTATATTTTATATTAAATCTTATAAATGAATAACACTGGACCCAATTTTGCCATGATTCCTTAGAGCTAAAATTTAATATGACTACAGTGTATCTTTGTCATACTGAAAACCTAAAGAAAAGGGGACTCTGTTGTAAAATTTGGTTTTAAGTCTATTGAATCAAGGCACAAAATTAATGGATTTTTGTTTACAGTTATTCTAGCTACCATATGTTGATACCAAATAAAAAATCATGTAAGTACCTACTATATATTTTTTATTATTTTAGGATGGTAATTACGTATAAAAAATGTATGCGTAATTTCTATCTCATCTTGTCTATCGTATATATATCTATGGTAAAGACCTTCTGTAAATGGAATTTGCATAGATGCGCGTTATGCGTTACGACAAAATTGTTCACATATTGCCCATAGTAATCATTTTCTCCTCAGTTGTTGTGTTGTAGCAAGCTGTCAAGATGTCAAAATATTTGAAATATTACCCTAGCGACCCAAAAAGTAATAATGTTACCTACCAGTCGTAAGATAATTTAATGCAAGTATAAAAGATAAGATGCATAAAAGTGAACAAGATTTAATGTAGGTGACCATTTAATTATTAATAAATGAATAAATATTACCAACACTCACATCAATTAGCCTAGCCCCAAAGTAAGTACTGTAAGGCTTGTGTTATGGGATACTAGGGTAATGTATAGAATCCCCAGGGGCCCCGGTGGGCCCCCGTGCGGGCGGCACGGATGTGGCGGAGGAGGCGGCGACGGTGCGGGCCTGGGCAGGAGTCCCCGACGCCGTCGCGGGGGACGCCGACGGCATGGCGGACATTTTCGCGGACGACATCAACGTCGTCTGCAGCGCCGCCATGCCGAGGGCGCCGGTTGGCCCACGGAGGAGTGGGCAGGCATACTGGTGGACGCAGGAGCTCACGATCCTGCGTACTGCCAGTATGGGGGCCAGGCGCGCCTACCAACGATGCCGTAGGCGCGCCAGACGAGCGCCCGGCGAAGAGGAGGTCCTCCGCCGGGCGTACAACAAGACCGACACGGCCCTGCGTATTGCCATCTGCAGGGCCAAGGTCGCTGCCTGGGATGAGTTTCTGGCCATCCTGGACAGCGACCCCTGGGGGAGGCCGTACCTCCACGTCCGGTATGGAGCCCGCGCTGGTGAGAAGGGTGCTGGGGACAATTTTCCCAGACCCCGGGCCCTTCGAACCCCCCAGGATGCCCCCTGGTTCTGTTCCGGGGGCGTGGACCGCTGGCCCCGCCGTGTCTGATGCAGAAATCGACACGGTGAGGGACCGGCTCCGGAGCCGCAATAAAGCTCCGGGGCCGGACGGGGCCCCGGCCGAGGTAATGGCCATTGCCTTAGACCCCCTGGGAGAGCAATTCCGCGCGGTGCTAGATACATGCATCGCGACGGGTCGCTTTCCCAGGCGCTGGAGTGGGGCGGCTCTGCCTTCTCCGCAAGGAAGGCCGCCCGGCGGACTCCCCAGCGGGCTACCGGCCGGTGGTGTTGCTCGATGAGTCCGGGAAGGCTTTTGAGAAGATTCTCGCCTCCCGGATCATCGAGCACATCGAGGGTGAGGGGCCGGACCTGGCGGAATGCCAGTACGGCTTCCGAACCGGCCGGTCCACGATGGACGCGGTTGGCCGTCTCAAGAGGTGAACTGAGGCGGCCACAGCTCGGGTGGAGGTGGTGATCGCGGTGTCCTTGGACATCGCGAACGCGTTGAACACTATCCCCCACGAGTGCATAGAGGGGCCCCTCGAGTTCCACCGAGTGCCACTCTACCTCCGCACCCTCGTCCGGGACTACCTGCGAGACAGGTCAGTCCTGTACGAGGATGCGGAGGGCCGCGTCCAGTCGTGGCCAGTGAAGGCAGGCGTAGCCCAGGGTTCCGTATTAAATCCCCTCCTATGGAACCTGGGGTACAACTGGGTCCTGCGGGGTGAGCTCCTGCCGCGCATGGATGTAGGGTCGGCACTGTTTCCCGTGCCGGCGAGTCCCACACACGCCGTGCGCCTAGTCAGCGTCACGGTATGCTGCGTAACTGCATTTCCCCTCGTCACAAAAAAAAAGGGTAATGTATAGAAAACATATACTGTACATACATATATATTTATGTACATAGAAATACACATTAAACATACACCATACCATGACCGGAGTACAAATGCTCGTACTCATCACACAAACATCTGACCCCGCCAGGATTCGAATCCGGGACCTCGAGTCGGCGACACTATGAAACCCGGCGTACAAACCACTCGGCCAGGGAGGTCGGAGAGTTTTTAATTTTAAGGGTATGGAATTAGCTGTTACCCTGGATTAACACATAGGCTATGTTTTACTGCGGGAAAATATCCCACAGCTAGTCTTAAATAAATGCCAAATATTTCTATTCATTTCTCATTTAAGCATTTCAAAGAGAAGATAAATTACGCGACTATGACCATACTAGAACAAATAAAAAAAAAGCAACTGAGTTGTTTCTTCTAAATGAGCATTAAACTTCTAGATATTCTATTTTATTTCGTACGTCTAGTTCTTAAAAGTAAAATCTAAAATTGAGGTAATAATGCGAAAACTTTCCTGTAATGAAAATTCATAGTGCTTAGAGGTCTTTTTTTAATGCAATAACTGTGTGTAAGAAAGCGTATATCTTTTTAGCATAAGCGTAAAAAGTTACGCTCTGTGGACTATAAGCGGACGTCCGCTCCGTGTTCCCGCTTGAAAGTGTCTCACAGATAGAGATGGGCAGTGGGAAAAAAACCAATGGGAAAAAACCCAATAGACGGGTATTTTCATTATTAAACATAATTATCACGATCTTAATTTTTTTTTATTTTTAGAACAAATGTAGCGAAAAATAGGTACTTTCCAGTGGCGAAGCTAATATATTTACATTCAAGCACAAGCGGACATTGACGTATACGTTAATGCAAGCGACATTATTAAATTGCGCGCTTTGTAAAAATATTTATTTATTTATTTTGTACACACACAATAAAATATTACATCAAAGAGAAACAAGAGACATGTACAAGGGCACTGCTTATTTCATAATGAAATTTCTTCCAGCAGGCCCGCGAAAGGAAAGAACATAGAAAAAGGCAGTCAGTGTGTGCTCCTGAATAAATATAACATAATACATATGCAATACATACAATAACATACAATACATATATAATAATATTCTTTAATATGCTGGATACAAAATACGCAATGCATTTGATATCGCGCATACGCACACAGATCCGTTCCGTAGTAGGCTGGATAAGCCGCTTATCATATTGGGACTTCAAATAAATAAAATGTAAGCACTTCACGCATAAATACACATTACTACCACATGCAACCAATCGTCGATATAACAGCGATATAACCCGATCTTAGATAGCCTGCAATCTTTATTTGTCATGTGTTAAGGCTCCGTTTAGCTTGAAGTTTTCGGCCAATCGCAGACACCTGGCGCTCGGCTCTGTTGACCTGACGTAGAGAGGCCATTATTTCGCGCGCATTCGCATGGATAAATTAACATTCGAATCCGTTCTATGCTAATTTATCTATTGTGATAAGTGATTAGCTTGATTGTGGTATATGTAGTTTAACAGAATCGAAAGTAGTGAAATTTTACTTGCCAAGTGTTGCGTATAGTGTTTGTTTTATTTCACCGTAAAGGTTTGTTTGCATTTTTTTGTTTCTTGCCGTCACGTAGGAGTGGTGGAATTAGTACAAATAGATTGTTGTCTTACAGATTTCCTATTAAATGAGTTAACTTCATTCTCAAAACATTCGTTCGAAAATAAAACGTGGCCATGGCCTTCGGCTCTTTCTACCCCGTAAATTCCTTACTGACGTGATACTATGTATGTACGTAGAATAGAAATAAATTAGCGGTATTTCTGCTGGTTTTTATTTGTGATGATGATGCTGGCCCTTATTTTGGTTCTTTGTTTTTCTATATATTTATTTATAGCACAGTGTGACATAAACCCGCACTTTACGCACGCTTTTCCGTGACCTAAGTTGCCTATTTCTGCACGGTGTGTAAATAAATTGACCAACTTCACTCATGTAGAATTAGTACATTACGATACGCGTAACTTAACTTTACTATGCCAATCAAGGAATAAACGTTCATGGATACATTGAAATTCTATTTTGTTGTAATGATATTTGATTTTTTCCTTTTGAAATATACTTTCAAAATCGTAATCTGAACCGGAATTCTTTCTTTTCAGAGTTTGACTTGCAGTCTGTATTGCAATTCTTTGTGATTGTAATACATGAATTTTACTTTCAAAACGGAGGCCCCAGCCCCCCCGAACCTCCCCCTCTTGCCCGCGTCCGGGGCGGGTTTATTATACACACTTGCTATAAAATAGTATACGATACTTGTGGCCTAAGTTGTCTATTACTGCACGGCGTTTAGCACCCTCGCTCCGCTCGGGCGCTAACTTCACGCCGTGCAGTAATAGGCAACTCAGCATAGGTCACGCGTATCGTAATGTACTATTATAATCTGTGTATGAGTGACGTGTGCTTTATGGTACTTTGCGATGCGCACATACTTTGCGACAGCGTTTATAGGACACTAGCTGTTGACTTTTGCAGTTTAATTTATCAACAAAAAGATGTCTTCAGAAGTCTACAAAACAAAATCCCAGTCCTCAATTAAACTAACATATTAACACAAGTGCGCACAGTACGAAGCCAAAATAACGTGTAAGATAGATAGATCACTGCTACTACCTGCCCCCCCCCCCCCCCCCCCGCGTACGTAGTTTCGAATTACTTGTCGCTAAGAGTGGATGAACACACAAACAGACAGGTTTTTTTATTTTATTTCATTTTATTTAATTAGATAGCATGGAGTATATATAACGTTTTTATTGAATTATGAAATTAAAAAAAGTTAGATTAGCTCTAACTAGTAGTAATAGTACTTACCATTTGATATATACATGTATCTCCACATTACCTCGATGTTACATATGCTAAATATGAAAAAACCCGAATATTTTCCCATTTGGGAATTTTCCCTGGGTTTTTTCCCTATATTTTCCCACATTGGGGTTTTTTCCGGGTAAAATCCCATCTCTACTCACAGACAGCCGCGGCGGCCAGTTGTATTCTCGCTTGCAATGTAAGCGAGTGGTCAAACACGAGCGACCAATAAAGGCTCTTTGTCTGTGATACTTATAACAGTTAAACGCACTTCACGCCCTAAAGCGCTATAATAAAAATTTTGAAAATGACATTTATGACTTTAAACTAAAGTGGAACTTTTTATTAGCTGCAGTAAAATGACGTTTTGTGGGTTACCGCTTTTTGAAGAAAAATAAATAGGGATGTAGCTAAGTGAGTAAGTGGATCATTCAATAAATGAATGATCAGTTTGGTTTTGTTTTAGAGATTTATTATTAAGTTGTAATGTATTTTTTTATTCTATTATTATTACTATAGTATAGGATTGATCTTTTTCAGTGGAAGTATAGGGACGTATATCCAAAATGAAACAAAAATATCATAACAATATTATTTAAATACTATTATTATTTTTCAATCATTTTCGGAATCACTATAGCTTTCGCTTTCGGTCACACTAATGACAGTCTTTTATTTATATGAATAATAAATAGAATTAAGTATGAACATTATGAGTTAGTTATGAAACGATTAGATTTTCTGTGAACCTAATCACATCCCTATTATAATTAGACGGTTATCATTATTTTACGGAATGACATTTTGAAACGTCATTTTACTGCAGCTAATAAAATGTCCAAGTATAGATGTGCGATAGGTATAATGTTTGTAATTAAATTAAAGTTTAATACTTATAATACTATCGCAGTTGATTTTGTATGAAGTGCGAAGTTCCATTTAAAGAAGGTCATTGGTCTATCATAACACGATGCAGTTGTTGAGATTAAAACAAAAATACATTATTACTCCTACTACTATATGCTAATGTATTGTAGCATGTCCATATATATGTATCATAATAATTCATCTATGTTTTCATTATATTTAATTATGTAAATGTGTATAAAAATAATTTGTTTACTCAGGTACAGACGTATTTGTTTCATATTAGATAATTCTGTACGTACACCGCGAGAAGAATATTGTCGCATCGGCGGTAGAACTAAAAACTTCGGGTTCAGCGGTAGAACTAAAAACTTCGGTTCTTGTTAGTCACTCAAATATTCGCCTTCTATTTGTGTTGTGGTGTCTAGTGACTATTTTTGTGCAGCTTAGGAATAAACTGTACGTGAGTAACATATTAACTGTGTTCCTGATTTCTTGGTCACCCATCCGAACCACTACAGTATTTTTTTGACACCTAACATCTAAAATTTTACAAAAATTCACAGATCTCGTGCTCTACACGACTTGAAATTAATCTACTTATTATAGATTATTCAACTGCAATTTCAATATATTTTTACATCATCTTACAGCCCTTTGAATTCCGCGTCTTTTGAGCTCTCATGCGTCCTCGTGGCAGCACGCGAGCCGCCCGCGCACATTGTGTTATTTCACCTCAAAATTACCACTCCCTTGATTAAAGTTGAATCAGATAAAGCTCTTCATTCTAAGCGCAAGAAAAACTCCCACGATTCTAACTATAATAGTTTCGACGAAATCCCGGTTTTTCTTTTTTTGTACCACATTGTGAAAAAGAAATAAAAAAATTTTTTGTCTAAACTATTATTTACATTGTATTTCAAAAGGTATTATTTTTATCCATATTATGTGTCTTCTATGGCTGCCCTAGAGCTTGTGGGAACCGAGAAATTGGCGATTTAGTGATTTTCGTTTTTAATTTTTTGTGCTCATGTTATGCAATATTAAAGCTTATAATTTAGTTCAAAATGTAGCTAATAATGTAGACTATCAACTCAAAAAATAACAAGCTTTAACTCGGTGGTATATCGGAAATATTAAGAATTTAAATTTGTGGGACAATGTCCCACATTTTGAAGACTTAATTTTGAAAACGTACTTTTTAAATATTATACTATAATAACTATATAAATACGTTGTTATTATATTATTTACTATTTATATAAGATTATAAATGTGTTTGGTATGTTTGTTACATAATCATCCACTTTTGTGGGCCAACTTGTTTGGATGAAATGTGGTACACAGGCATTAAGTTCTTCCCTATTAAGTGCAAATAAACAAATAAATCTGTGGATGAAATGTGGTAATCAGGCATTAAGTTCTTCCCTATTAAGTGCAAATAAACAAATAAATCTGTTTAAACATTATCTGTCGTAAACATACTGTCTTCGTTATGAAGAACAGTTGTGAATTCATTTTCTTCACTTTCTATGCATGCAGTTTCGTCGTCGACATCACTATTATCGTCATATAAACATCCCGAACTGTCCGGTTTTAACAAATTTATTACAGCCTGTGGCAGTGGCATTCTCATTCGGTTATTTTCACGATGTTTTAGCCGTATAGCCGATATCACAGGGTCGGATGACTCGAGCGCCCTGTGAAATAAGTCGGTCATGGTATGAACCCTAGAATCTTTTCGGCTGTGATGTTCTCTGTCCTGACGCCAAAACTTGTTCCTGGATTCTCCTGCCTGTTCGGAGAGTAGTCCAATGGGTAGCGCTGAATTCTCTATAATTTTCTTTCCGCGAATTAGGATTTTGTGAAGGGTAGTAGTCATAGGCACCCTATGACTACTAAAGTTGTAGTTTTCTACGTATTTTTTAGCTATATTTTTACAAAAAGTTTTTGTATCCCAAGTGAAAAAATGACCCAAAAGTCAGACAGTGGCGAGTAATAAAAAATTCTGACATAGGACAAATTACTGCAGAACGAAAAAAAGAAATCCAAAATCAAATTAAGCAAAGTATGGGTCTATTGGTAGACGTTGTTAAGCCTAACTCAGGGACCACGAATGATACGGCTCGTCGAGTATTCAAAAGTGAACAAAGCCGCCAGACGTTTGCCAATATACTTGATATTGAGAAATGGCTCGTAGATGATTTAAATGTAATTTTAATAGCCATCAATTCGGGATTACCAATAGACGCCCAAAAAATCGGTACTTTTTGTAAAAATAATGTTTATAAAAATGTTTATTTGCACTTAATAGGGAAGAACTTAATGCCTGTGTGCCACATTTCATCCAAACAAGTTGGCCCACAAAAGTGGATGATTATGTAACAAACATACCAACACATTTATAATCTTATATAAATAGTAAATAATATAATAACAACGTATTTATATAGTTATTATAGTATAATATTTAAAAAGTAGCATAACTACGTTTTCAAAATTAAGTCTTCAAAATGTGGGACATTGTCCCACAAATTTAAATTCTTAATATTTCCGATATACCACCGAGTTATAGCTTGTTATTTTTTGAGTTGATAGTCTACATTATTAGCTACATTTTGAACTAAATTATAAGCTTTAATATTGCATAACATGAGCACATAAAATTAAAAACGAAAATCACTAAATCGCCGATTTCTCGGTTCCTACAAGCTCTAGGGCAGACATAGAAGACTCATAATATGGATAAAAATAATACCTTTTGAAATACAATGTAAAAAATAAAATAACTGTAATAGTTTAGACAATTTTTTTTTTTATTTCTTTTTCACAATGTGGTACAAAAAAAGAAAAACCGGGATTTCGTCGAAACTATTATAGTTAGAATCGTGGGAGTTTTACTCATGCGCTTAGAATGAAGAGCTTTATCTGATTCACCTTTAATCAAGGGAGTGGTAATTTTGAGGTGAAATAACACAATGTGCCGCGCCGCGCCGCGTGATATCGAGCCGCGCAAAACTCGCGGCTAAGGGCACCTCTAGAGCCTCAACCCTCACCAATATCGAAAAAAGTGTAATGACCTAAAATGTTCCTTAATTCAAAACCGAGGTGCTTTTTTTCATATTTTTGAAACGGTCCCGTTTTCGAGATATCGGAATTTTTCTGTGAAAACACGATTTTTCGGTCGAAAATAGTCTGTTTGATATTTCGATTTCCAAGAAAGTTTTAGTTTTCCAAAAATTTTTTACATCTTCTTAAAGCCCTTCAAATTCCGCGTCATTTGTATCACGGGCGAGTCGCACTTTTAGCTAAAATGGGGGCCTACCGGAGCGAACGAAAAAACATTATCAATGTTAAAAAGGAAGTATCTTGATGTTAGCTAATATACGAAAATTAAGTGACGATAGCCGTTGGGGCAGGTACGTTCACGAGTGGCGTCTGCCGTAGGCATGTCATCAATAGAGTGTACTGGCAATTGGGTAAGTGTAGTCGATAAAGTGTCCCATAGTGAGCAAACATCGTTAAATACAGGATGTGCTTAATTATGGCTAGATCATACCTCGTGGCTTATTTTGAAAGCCAAGGCGACAAGTTTTTACATTTGCATATCTTGTGATTAGATTAGCTATTGCTTTTTCTGGCGGAAAGATTTGAAGCTCTAAACATGATTCTCTTCCTGTACACTAGAAATAACCCTTGTGAAAAATAAAGCCACTATCTATAATACTAAATATAGTAAGAAGGTGCAATGAAATTTAAAGAAAATAAAATATGTTTAAAAATGTTAATTTATTACATTATAAATTGTTATTTGATTAAAAACAATATACAACAGAGTAATTAAGGTTTTATTCGTAGTTCAAAAACTTGAAAATAAATCAGTCTTGTTAAAATGGCCAACTACGATGCAGATGCGAAGCGAATGGAAAAATAATGCTGCATTTTATTACAACTAAAAATAAATTATTAAAAACATACAAAATTCATGAGTGTGAATGGGCACTCAATTGTTCTTAAAACTTTCTTGTTCTGCCAGATATTTAGTAAATATCACAGACAAGCTAGGTATATTGGTTGGCCTCTATCATGCATTAAACAATTAAACTCATACAATAAAAATAATAACAACCATTTTAACTACCTACTTCATAGGAAGGCACAAACATTTGTTTAAGATTTTGGTAACATTAAATAAAATAAGGCATGTATATATTACTATAAAAAGCGACACTACATAAAATTACAAGGGCCTAGGTTGAGCAAATATAATCTATTTGTGAGATTACTGCTCAAGACCCGGAAAATAATCAGATTTCTGAATTTTTGTATACATTTGTTTTGATACTCTTTACACTATTGGTCTTAAGTAGCATTTTTGTCTTGCCAAAGATCATAATTCATTCCTTCCGTTCATTCCGAGATACACATCATTCACAACCTTCCAACTAGGGTGAAGACAAAAATAAGTTACGCATTTAGTTTACATAGTAAATTATTCAATTAGTGCACAATAAACGTAGGTAAACAAGTTACATTTAAATTATTGCGACAAAATCAACATTCATAGTCATAATTTTTGTCATTTAGAAAAAAAAACATAAGGTAAACTTGAGTTTCGCAGCATTTATCGTTAGCTGCAAAATTAGCGGATAGCGTACCGCATGTTTATAGAAATTACTAACTTTTCTTCGATCAATACAACAATCAAGATAAGGCAGTTGATACCATAGGGTAGCGGTATCTCGTCGATATCACAAATTCTTTTACCACAAGTAAAAGCATAAATATAATTAAAATCAATGTAACATAATGTATCAATAAAACTCCACCGTAAGTCGCCACATAGAGGGTGCACTGAATCGGTACAATGAGCGCTAACATTATGTCGACCTTAAAAAAATGAAGTCGTTTTCAACTTCAGGTCAAAATTGTTTTCGTTCACAGTGTTAACACGTAAGCGTCGACCGCCCACTTAAGGGATAAGATCCTGTTGTCGAAACTAGAAGACTAGATTTTGGTTTCACGTTGTCGTCACTAAACTAGGAGCCTTTTGACGCCGCACTCGATACAAAACTTGGCGGTGTCTACGGGGAACTTGCTACCGCACTCGTGGCAAAAACGCGACAGGCGAGGAGCGGAGTCGCGCCGCGTGCGGTGTAGCGACGCCTCTGACCCGCTGGAGCTCATGCCTCCACCGCTACGGTGCCATGTAGGGCTGCGGCGTGACGATGCTCGCGAACTAACCCGTTTATCTAACGAATAATACACTAGTAAAATCCACAGTATCATTTGTATATTATAAAATATAATGTGTCAAATCATCCATAATATTTAGTATCACGGTATAGAGCATTCAAACTGTGAAGCTGTGAAGTTAGCGCAAGTCGGAGCAGTAAATGAAATGTGGGTTGTTAAAGTTATTAACATTTTATTTTTGCGTCTACTAGGGTCATGAGACTCCACTGAATCTAAATATAGCGATAGAAGAGATACTGTACTAAGCTTAACGTGTTATTTAAATTGGAAATTTTCTTACCAGTTACGGGATGTGCATCTAACTCTTTAAATGTTATGTCTGTTTGTGGAAGTGGGTCGTCGCGTTCGGCAGAGCGTTCCATCGCTAAGAACTCTTCACTGGAAACTGATCTTATCTCCTCTTTCCCACTGGAATCTGAACCAGCTGGTATTTGCTCCAGTGATGCCAAGCCATTGGGTTCTTTAGAATTGCAAATAGATAGTTTCGATGGAGATATTCTGTTGAGGCTAAAATGTTACAATAGTTTAATATATTGACTAATTATACTAGATAACAAAATATTTATTAGATTTTAAACGAAAACCACATAAAGAGTTACCTGACTAACCTGCTATAAGCCGAGTCGTTGCTAGCTTTCCCGGGTGTATAATTTCCATTGGAAGCTACGTCGTTCTTTTTATTTCTTTTCTCGGATTTAACACGTGTCTCTCTCTTTGCAGTGCCGTTCGTTACTTGCATGTTATAACAGGATATTTCTTTCTGTTGGCTGTTTTCAATTCTATCTGACTCGTAGAATTTATCTAAATCTTTCAGTGATTGCATCAAATCTTGCTCTAGTTGGTCTGTTTTATGGCGACTGTTTATGCTATCCGTCTTTTGTACACGCTTCTTTTGAATGGAATCCAGGAGGGAAGTGGATCGTTTTACAGAGGATGGGAAGAGGTTTTCATTTCCGACATTATTACTGCTAAAATTGAGAGACATTGACTTATTAACTGGTATCAACCCGTTACTGATAACAACATTTGGAGTTGAGCAAACACTATTCATACCGGATGACCTATTACTATCGGCAAGTTCAGACTGCTTTACTATTCTAGTTGTGGAACTACAAGATCTTTTATTTTCGTGTTTTTGTTTATTAATTTCTTCATCGAACGAGGTCATGAATTCCTCGAGATCAAATTCTTCACCCATGGATTGATCATGTGAGACTTTTGTTACTAAACTGTGTTCTAAAGAAGACATAATTCTATCATACTGTACGCTTAAATCATCTACAGTTGGGGCACTGTTTTTGTTTATCATATTCTTATTGGTAATATTATTATTACTTTCTACTTTTGTAACATTATTTTTAGTTTCATCTATATTATTATTACATTTATCATTATTATTATTTTGGTTAGTACTAAAAGATTCAAACTTGAAAGGTAAATTTTCAGTAGTAAGCAGAGACTCCATACTACTAATAATGTCGGGATTATTCAAAATAGTATTTACGTTGATGGGCAAGTTGTCATTTTCGTTGATTAGTCTAGGGTCTATATAATTACTGTCCGTCATTGAAGAGTTGTCGTCTGTAAGAATCAAATCTAAATTGACAAACTCTTTTTTATTTTCTTCTCTTTTTATTTTGTCAAGTTTTAGAGGTTGTTTTATGGTAGTTCTTTGGAAACTGTGGTACATGGAGGTAGTTATTTTTGGATTTTTTTCTTTTGTTTTAGGGGTGCTGTAACTAGAAGCCGTGTAACTGGAAAATGACCTATTTAAATTACTATTGCGATTGAAAAATAATTTATCGGGTGTACTTATGTTTTCTTTGCTGGATTTAGTAAATGTTGTGTTTAGTTTCTGCTGACTAGATTTTTTGTCGTTTCGGTTAAGCCTAAATGAACTACATCTATTACCAAACGAACTGTTATTATCATTATTTGTGCTGCCAAAGGATTTCATTCTTTGTAGTGTAGGAGTTTTCTGGTACGTTTTATTAAGAGTGTCTTTCATCATTTTGGTGTTATCAGTTCGAAGGTATGACGGATGTGTTTTTTCTTTACCAGGACGAAGTATTGGGAGGGTTCTATTTGGATCTTTGGAAGTGTTTTGGATTTTTACAGGAATGTTTGTGTCTGACGACATGAGTTCTTTCATTTGTCTAGCAGCCGATACAAAAGGATCATAGTTTTCATCAAGCCTGAAAAGTAATAGTTTGCGTGTACGTTTTATAATGTAAAACGAAATCTATGTGCATGATATAATATAATATATTATGCATTTTTAAAGTCGTGTCATTTACCGAGTATTTCGGTATAAAATATTATTGGGAGTCTGAAAAATTTTAAAATTGGTGAACAACACACTTTCTAGTAAATGGTTATGTTAGACTTTTTACTATCACCCAAATTGATTATTGACCCACCATATTTTCAGCTTTAAAATTTCAATGATAGCTTTCCCAAAAATTTTCTTTATTTCTAGAAACAGTTTCTGATACATCTCAATTTTTTTTTTCAAAAATCTATATATAATTTAAATTTTATCTCATAGATTATATTTACTGCTTTAAAACAAAGATCAAATTTCAAGGATCTTTGATCCATACTGATGCAGAAAGTCATAAACCAAGGACAATTACTTATTATCTATGGATGAAAAGTTTGTCGTTTTGAGATTGCCGGGCAAGTGGGTCGGGAATCAATTTGTTCGATAGTATTATAGAAATACTGAAGTTTATGAAAATAGTTAGGTAAGGAAAAGGGACAACGTATCCTAACCTCTTATTTTCTATACGAGGCAATTTGAGTGGAGGTGCCTCGGAAGTTATCGAATGTTCATCACTATTGTCATCGGCAATATTTTTTACTATAAACGTTTGATAAGCTGAATTTGCTCGATTTTGCTCTCCAAGCATTTTATATTTTCTATGAGGTTTGTATAATCTTTGAATTCTGTTTTTGTTACCAACATTTTTGGTTTTATTTGTTTCACATATGGATGGCAGTTTAAACTCTGATGATACACTTTTAAAAGGACTGACTGCTGGGTCCCTTTTTTCATAAAATTTTGATTGATAAACAGTTATATGTTCCATGTCACATATATTTTTTGTGGTTTTAGGACTATCTTTTATGCTTGCTTCCCCTGAAATTTTATTAACATCTCCCCCTGCACCTTCAATCAGATCTTTTAAATCAGTTTTCAAAGCTTGTAGAGTATCAGAAAAATTTGTTTTAACATCAACTTCTTCAGAATTATTATCTCTGATACCCTCGAGAGAATTTGTTCTCGGTGTATGAAGTAATTCGATATCTTTTTCTAATATTTTTTCTTCCGCAAAATGTTCACTCATCATTTTATCTGTCATGTCAATAAATTCTTCTAAATTTGCTGAATTTTCTGAAAATTTTGTATATGTATCACCACTACCATGCCGACACATAATATCTTGCACTTCGTCTTCATTATCATAATTATTATTGGAATCGTTACTGTTATCGGGTTCACAATTTTCTCCAAAGTTTTCAGTCGACAAATCTTGTCCACTTTCGTTCCATTTATTTCCAGGGTTATCTATGTCGGAATCACTTTTAATTTCTAATTTTATATTTTCTATATTATAATTGTCAGTTTCGGTTTCAAATACTGAAGTACAACAGATTGATACAAGATTATCAGATTTATTTTCCGAGTTACTGGTGCTGACGTCATAAAGGTTGCAGTTTGAAATATTGTCCTCCTTCGTATGTTTTTCACCAATATCACACGAACTTACCATTGATAAATTTTTGTAAAGAAGTTGAACTTTCGGTTCTTCATCAAATTTTATAGTACTTGAGGTTTTACTGCTAACTTTCGTTTTCTTACTTTGTGTATCTGCATTATCGTATATTACACAAGGAATACATGGGCATATTAGTTCTGTATTTATTCCTATAGAATGACATTTTTCGTCTACACAAGCAATTGATTGGGAATCCTCAAGACTATCCAAACTCATGCTGTTTTCTTTTATTAATTTAATTTTCATAGCCCTTTTTATTACATGTGTCTTTTGTTCGTTTCCGTTTTCCGTAATTTCAATAGATTTGTTTTCTTTAATATTTTTACTAGAATTTTTCATGAAAAATTTTTTGGCCTGGCTCACTTGAGTATCGCCTTTCGTATTTTTATTTCGTGCAACACCAGCATCATGGTCATATTTTTTTGGCTCCGTACTATTAGTTTTTCTGGGGATCGGTATTTGACTTCTGTCTCCAGCCTTTTTTGGATTACTTTTGAGCTCATCTCTATATTTTTGATTTCTTTCACTATATTTATTAGCGAGTTCCTCGAGCTTTTTCAGCTGTTTTTGTTTTTTAGCAGTAATTTTATTTCGAACTTTATTTTGAGACACAACATTTGATGATTTGATGTTAGGATCAGTACTGCTGAGTTGTACCGAGGTGGGATAGTTTTCTTGGGAATTTCTACAGGAGAGGAAAGGAAGGGTAGTTATTATTTAGTATGATGTTATATAACAAATAAGGAGACAGGAATGTCTATATCAAACAGAGAAAAATACATTAAAATTACAAAAAAAACCTTTTACCTTCCTTTCCCCTTATTTGCTAATAAATAATTGGAAATAATAAACTTACCTTGTATTGCTAAGATCTCTAGCGAGCCGCGCTTGTCTTGCTTTTACATTGGCATCACCGGAAGTACTATTCTGTGTATTCCTAGAGTTCCTTATAACTGGCACATGAGGTGAAGAATCGTCGTGGCAGTCGTTGCTTGAGACAGATTCTGCAGTATACGTTTCATAATTAGTATAATATTCACAGTGTGCTGCAATTTTTTGAATATTGAAACCTGACACTGATTTGGAAGCGAAAGTAAAATAATGATCGACGATTATTTATGAATTAGAGAGGAAAAAGAATAGAAGGCTATGAAATTCTTACCGGAAGTTCTTGATCTCGTGGGTTTGTAGTCACCGTATTCTCTGGGCGGTGGAGGAGAGACGCCGCGCGACGAATCAACGGATGCCGAGCGGCTGTTGGACGACTTGTCGCGGGTTTGTGACGACCTTTGAAATTGATACAAAACATGTTAGCGTTCGCTATACTTATCCAAGAAGTTTCTAAAGTTAATAAGATGATTTGGAATATGAAGAGACAATTAGTGAAATATGTAGAGAATAGGCGAGTGAGAGTTCACGAGTTCGATTCCTGTTCAGCTACAATTCCAAAAAAGCGAGAAACGAATAAGAATTCTTCGCATGATTTCTATGTAGTAAAACTATTAAATAACTATATTATTACTGAAACTTTCCTTTCATCATAGTGAATTACTATATAACACTTTATATAATAGTAATATAATCACAACAATAAAAAATAAATCGTGATATTAAAAATCATTTTTTCCTCTTTCCAGTGTATAGTAACACATTACTGTAGTGTAGTGTTAGATTAATGTAACGAGTGCAGCTGTAGACACCAGGTACAACAGTGCGATAAGCATCTTTATGAATGTGAGTGACAGTTCAGGGAGGGCGCCACTGTCTTAAGTAAATGACGTTAAAATTAAGAAGTTTACAAAGCCGGTGGCGTTAGTTTAAATTTTCGTCACATTCATAAAGATCCTTGTCGCACTATAATACTACAGCACGGGTAGATACCTCCGGGCGCGCACCGGCGGCGCCTTGTACTGCGTGCGCGCGTTGAGCCGCTGCTTGGCGTCGGCGATGTGGGGCGGCGGCTGCGCGGGCGCGGCGGGCAATATCTTCGCCTTGTCCGCGCACCACTCCACGTGTCGCTCGAACGCTCGCACGCCGAACGCGCGCCCGCAATGGGGACACTTTTGCAGCTCCGCCATTGGCTGGCGAACACCAATTAGGTCCCTTTATATTTTTTTGAAGTGAAACTTCTATATAGTATATCCTAATACCCACCATTAGGATTTAAACCCCGCGTACATACCACTCGGCCATGGAGGTCGTCAAATTGCATGGGCTGCGTGTCGTTTGAATGCAACGAGTTAGAAATGATATAGAATCATAGCTCTCTAACAAAGGCCGCTAAAATATGGTTCTGAACATATATGGTTAGGTACACCGACAAAACAAAATACTTTGCCGAATCAAATATCTGCAAATGAATGGGATTACCCATTCATCAGGTAAGATAATATTAGAGTGAAAAAGAAAACCCAACCAAGAAGTGAGTATGTACGAGAGAGAGAGCGAGAAGAGTCTGCTGAAGACTAAGGGTCATATCTGTCACGCACACATTAACGTTACAGGAATTCTCATAGTTCAATTCTGAATTAATTCACGACTAAAAGTGTACTACTTTAAATGTTTAAATCAATAGCGGTATATTTAATTAATTATTCACAAGGATGGCCAGGAGCCGTCCTTTTGGCTACTTCTATTTTGTGTTATAACAGAATACCTATTCTCTTTTTTGTAACGTTGGTGTTGAAATTGCATTTTTTTTACGATCACAATATGTTAAAGTCCATTCATGGATACGAGCTAGTACCGACGTTTTTGTCATTCGCCGGAGTTACGACGCTAGAGCTGTGTGTGCCCTTTCTCGCGTGAGGTAATTTACTATCCGAAGTTTCCATCCTTGTCTTTTATAAGCAACTGTGTGATAAAGAAAGCGTTCCACTAACTCGTTTCCGCGAACTGTAAAATCAGTTCATGAATGTATCTATGTAGATGAACTTATTACGGTTACGAATAATATGCAACCTATTCGTAAAGTCTAGGATCGAAAGCAAAAGAAAAATATTATCGATCGGCAACGAAGTGGATATTAAAAGCCTATCACCGGAGTGCAAGTTCCGTAATCCATCAGCAACTTAGGTAGGCGATGTCCTGACAACCAGTTTTTTTTTTTCATCTTTATTAGTTCCAACCTAAGATAATGACATATTTATGTCGTGTAGTTTTTTTTTCATCTTTATTAGTTCCAACCTAAGATAATGACATATTTATGTCGTGTAGGTCACTTAAGACTCAAACTTAAAATAAAATAAAATAGGTATATTATATTTCAGTTCTTTTACATTGATAGATTTCAACATTTGATACTCTACCATCCCCGTATAGATAGGTACATACCGTGAAACTATGATATGAAAGTATAGACAGACATAATATGTAGTACCTTCCTAACACAGGTAACTTTAGTTTCAGTATCTGTTGATTAAGAAACAGTACAAGACCAATGTTAAATTACGTTTACGTAAGTTTATGTAAATCAATACGTTTCTAAGAAACATATTTATTTACATAAACTTGGCTTGACAATAATTCTAACACAGCTATTTATAATACGTCTTTGCTTGTCAGTTGTTGTGTGGTTTAAAACTGGAAGCTCATACAGCTTATGTTAACAATTAGTAATTAGCATCACAAAGTGACTTTAAGACAATTATAACCCAAATTTTTACATGAAAGTATGGTACTGTCAACAGTTAAAGCAATGTTCGGTATATACTTACATGTAACTTGACCTGAACTTTAATTCCGAGTAAAATGAAAATATGTGAAAAGAATTAGACGGTCCTAATCATAAGGCGATAATTCCTTGCGCACTGTCTTGCTTATAGTATGGATTTACTTCCCACTATCGAGCAAGAACTCAAGCTATTATCGCTCTATAAATGTGTTTGAATTCCCTCTCTTATCTTATTTCATATTTGGACTAGAACTATAAACTTGTTATATTGTACAAAAAAACAATCATTATAATGGAGAAGTGTACGCAAAGCTTGACATAGATGGCGCTGCAAACGCTTGACCCAAACCACAGCCAAATATTGCCGCTGTGGTGAAAATGTATTCAACATGGTCTGTAACACAGCTAAAATCAGACTTGCATCTGTGCAAGGCAGAAAAGCTGATCGAGTAGAAAGGTACTCTTTCTATTATTATGCTAGAATGCTCATTCTCGGTATATAGATGCATTTTCCATGATTATTTTAGTATAATAAATGTATAAATAGTTCATGGATCTGAGTACTTTTAGCGGGCTCATTAGTCAAATCTATCTTATTTTTGCATCAGTCAGACATCTCATAGAGTTAGCTTACCTCTGGCTAAAATGGGATGTATAACATTGGGTATTTTTACAGACTTGAGGCATATGACCGCAATTTTAATTTTGGTGCAGTTTTTTCTGATCAAAATGAAGACATCCAGATGCAATTACCTGCCCCAGATACATACAATGATGTAAACACAGATTAGTTTTACCCCCTTTCAAAGCAACATATAAAATTATATTTTAGTCGGTAAGCATGCAGTTTTCTCACAACAACCAAGAATTGCACAACTCGGCATTTGTATGTTGTTTAATAAAAAGCTTAAAAATTAATATAAGCTAATAGGTATGTATTTGATCGAAGTTTTGGGTCAAGCGATTACAGCGCCCCTAGTGGCCAAATTTTGCAGAATTCTTGTCCATTGCTACAAAACCAGTACAAAAATATCATAATATGCCTCTTCCATCCCTGTTCTCTTAAAAATTTAATTAAACTTAGAAATCTAATAAAAAAAAATATTTATTAATCTTTTGCTTAATCATACAAAAACGGGTGCCAATTAATATTAATAGTATAAAAATGATAATTACCTTGGTGATAGCATTTTTGACTGATTGTATTTTAGGTTTCGGCGTAACTTTGGCAGTATTTGGAGGACTTTTTTCAAGGAATGGACTGTTCTCTGGCAGGCCATAATTCTTTGGCAGATACTGTTCCAAGTCTGTACCTAGAAACATCGCAACAATATTACGCACTGAAAACTATTCAAAAGAAACATTGAAGAGGAACTGTAAACTGTAAGTTAATTAGTAAGTATTCAAGTAAAATACATACATTTTACTTGAATACTTAATTTAAAAAATAACCAAATTGCTCAAGTTATTTGCCAATTATTACAACCAATAGAATATTTCGCACTAATAAGGTGTCTTTGGTATTTTGCACTTTCAATTCAGTATAAACAAACAACATACAGATTAGAAAACACTAATTAAAAACTTCAACCATCACACATTTGGTAACATTCACGATCTACAAACACATTTCAAACGTCACATGGCGACAAGACAAGACAGACAGACACAACCCATGCATTTCAAATTAGTAATACAAACCATCGGTGATTGTTTAGTAAGTTTTAATGAGGTAGCTTGTAGGTGTTTTGTTACTAAATATACTATGCTAAATATTCTATGTTAATACGAGGCGTTGAGACACTTGCTGTAAGGTACGCTGTTTGCTACAAAACATAACACCACAATACAATATTTACATGTTTTAAAATTATAATGGGTACGGTCTACTAGAAATGTTGTCGCAAGATTGTAAAGAACTTAACAAAAATACTTGTTGGCAAATAAAGCTACCGATACTGATATAAGTGTCGAAAAATAATGTAATGTTTGACATGAAAAAAAGTCTGACAAGTAGGTGTATCGGGTACATTAGCATTTCGTTGATAGATTCCAATCATTCCTATTTTAGGTTTTTTTGTAGTACATAGTATCTTTGAAAGCTTTCAGATTAAGTTTATCTATTAAGCGACGCAAGACTTTGAAAATCCATTAGGTACTTAGTTTTAGCAACGAGAAGTGTGTTAGTAAACATTCAGCCGGAGAGTAACGCATGGGATGCTAATTGCTATGCAAATAGTCTACTCACTCACCAGAATTAACACCATTCTCCGACGACAGCCCTTTTTACCCACAAAAATAAAATATTTGTCAATATGTATAACAAAAAAATCATGCACTATAAAACTACCTACATTTACATAATAATATTAAACATATAAGATGGTACAATAACGTAGTGATGGCATAAAAATAGTGTTTTCCTACAGAAACTTGTATGGGAAAGGTTTAATACATAACGAAAATGGCGAAAAAAAAATTAGTAACCCAACCACCAAAGACCATCAATCATAAGTTTCATAAAAAACCTCAAGATATTACCTTCACGTCTCTGTCTCGAAGAGTCGAAAGTTTTCCGTTTTTTGATTGTCATTTTTTCGCATATTTTGGCGTGTTTGGCTAGTGGTTGAGGGGCGAAGGTGCGGCCGCAGATGGGGCATGGCAGGAGTGCGAGGGGGGCCGGTGGCTCCGGAGGGACAGGCGCGACGGGGTGAGTGGGCACTGGTGGGGAAGGCGGGGGGCCAATGCGACTAGGAGGCGGCGTCCTTAGCAGCGGCCGGAACGATTCATTGTTGGGAGCATCCCCCGCCGGCTGAGGCGATGGCGACCGCGAGGACTTCGTTTGCTGCTGCTGGAGTTGTCGTTTTTCTGGAACGGTGAAAAGAGTTCTGCCATATAATAATTGTTTGGAGAAGCTGTGTGCTGTTGTAAGGAAATGGTCTGTGAATAAAGTTTATTATCTTAACAGTACGCTATGTTGGTTTTTGTTAAAAACTTTTAATTTTTTATAAATCAGAACAACATCATCAGAAATAACCAAATCTACTATTATTGTGTACACTGTTTGTCATTGTGGAGTTCCATTGTTTATCTCCGAAAGTTCTTTTGAAATGTGGATCCATTTCAAAAGAAAAATGATTTAAACTTAATATCCCCGAGTTGTGAGGTAGCTAACATACAATTAAAATATAGTAGAACTTCAGAATCTCCTACTTTTTCAAGTCAGTTAAAACTAAGATTAAGGTACCAAAATTTTTCAAAAGGCTTAAAGAAAAATTTAGTGTGGAATTTAGTGTCAACGTTTCAAGGGCACTCTGTAAGTTAAACATGAATGACGCAACCAACGGCCACAACCTTCATATTGATTAGGTAAATTACTATCGCGGTCACGCGATTCTCACTTATTTTTTTAATATTTCCTTCAGCGCGGTCGGTCGCTAGGATTTTGAAAGCCTCGCAGCATAACTACCTTCTATTTTTGTAATCTTTTTTCAGTTTTTTTATAGTCATGCTTTTATACTGCTCAATCTTCAAGTCTGTAAGTCTGTCCCCTATTTCATTAGACAATTCAAACTACATATTGTATGTGTAATGTGTGTGGACATAAATAAATATGATGTGAGCAATATGAACACCGCTAGGTTTATGTATTTGTTTTCGAAGGCGACAGATTTAAATGAATGAAACTACATGTGGGTGTAGCACATGGCGGGGCATACCTGACCTTAAGATTGAATGGGGAAACCTTTAAGTATATTGTATTCTATACTCCGATACAAATCTTCATAATATTATACTGACTAGTGATGTAACGAATTTAATTTTTTGAACATTCGCGAATGCGAAATATTTAGTGTTATTCCGCTCGCGCCGGTCTTTTCGTAAATAAGTGAATTTTGAGGTTACAGTTTGAATAGTGATTTATTAACATGAGTACCTAAATCAAATTCCAGTGAAATATGGAATTATTTCACACTTTGAGATGCTGAACGAGCCAAATGCAAGCTGTGTAACAATAAATATTCATGAAACTACAACTGCTATGAGAAATCATTTGAAGGCAATGCATAAAACCGAGTTTTCAAGTATGATATAGACATTAAAATATGAGCAAAAGTGATAAAAAATTGAGTTTGTTTTTGTTTGGTCACATTTCATTACATATTCTAATAAAAAAAATGTTAGGCTTCATTGTCAAAAGTAAAGAAAATAATGCCAAATGCTAAAGTCAAAACTAATAATGTGATTACGAGGTTAAGTTAATTTTTCTTGCATTAAAAACATAAGAAATGAATGGATTCTGATTTAATGAACATACCTACTATTATCTTCAAATTGTTTTTTCTAACATTCCGCGAATGCGAATATTCGGTACATCACTAATACTTACATTAAAAATCGGTATCGTACATTCACAAGTTTTCTTGTAAGCCATGTGCATCGTAACGTAACTCACGTTGCAATTTGAAAGTTCATGCAAACGATACAAATTACTTTATAGGTAGGATAGGAGCTAATAAAATGAATCTCAGTATTTGAAATGGATGGATGACATTGGCAGTACTTTAACCAATCATCAATGAGGCCTCGTCATTTTTACACTACTAGTTTATTGTAATTGGACGTTGAGCGAAGGCTTCTTTTAAGCAGTCGCATTTTTCAACGGCAACCATTCCGGTTTTGTTGTTACGTGACCGAGAGTATAGAAATATTTAGTTAATAGTATTCAACTACTAATATCTACCTACTACATTATGCATATTTACATATTTGTTGCCAAAACTAGAAGAACAACCTTGAATGTTGTCATTCATTCCGTCTTTCGACTGATTGATAATTCAGGTACTTACATAAAACTAACAAAATACTTGTCATGAAATTTACAACTTTAACGTACCTATTGGATAATTAAATAAAATATTCATGAGCGAAAAAAAGGTATTCTTTTCAGAGAAAAGAAATAGTACTCATTTGAGACACCACACTGGGATGGACTCGGGCCAGCAATTGAGATAGATAATTGTTAAGGTTAAACTATAATAAATTAAATTGGTCAATAATTTAAAACGTAAAAAAGATAAATTGCATTAAGTAACCAGGCCTGCGAACCAGGTGGCTGGCACGCCAAAAGTTTGCGCAGGCGCATCCTAATCGAGTGCGTTCGAGTGGAGCTCGATTCGACTACTAATTCACTTGAACCGGATCGCAAACACCATGCTCCAGCTTAAAATAGGTTAGTTGGTACATCTAGATACATAATTGAGTAAGATTGATTATTGAGCACGACAGGAACGTAAACAGAGGCCCCATCGTTGTAAAGTTTAAAAAATAGTTGTATAAATCAATAACAGCCGTACTCGGAGAACTCGATTAGCTTTTAAGTTTAAAATTGATGCTGGTTATTTTCTTTGCGATAACCTAGAATGAGCCTAAAGAGTTAAATTAATTTACCTTTTCTGAGTAATGCAGTTACTAGTATAACAAAAAATATTTCGATTAAGTTAACAAGTTGTATCAATTTTTGAAACCAATATACCTATACTGAGACGCTATGTATAAGAAACATGAGCAAACGGACCTTTAGCGAAAATTTATTGACGTCCTCTTTAACGGGTGGCAGACATAAATTAATCAACTCGAATCTGCTACTAGCTAAATTAATAATTAAGCCTCTTATATGGTACGTACGTACGTCACGCCCGGTGCTGGGCGTAGTGTACCTATCGTGTGTATAGGGTATAGGTATATATCAAAGAAATATGTTCCCTCCGTCATCTATGTAGCAGTGCTTTTAGTTTGTGCTTTTCGCGGGCCAGAAATAAAAGGAATAGTCTTTTTACTATGGGGCTTGGTATTGCAATCAAAATCGATTCATAGTTTTTAGAATTTATAACCATTTTAAAGTTGAGGACGATCGTTTTTATAAAGGAACTTGCTTCCGCCTGTGACTTCGTTCCCGTTAACTTTAATTCCGTGCAATTTTCTTATGTTCTTAAAGGACATGGCTAAGAAACTGCCCTTAGCGTCTATAATTATTTCGCACTAGCCCGTAACATTATAATATTTTTCTTATTAACTCATCATCATCATCATCATCATCATCATCATCAGCCTATTAATGTCCCCACTGCTGGGGCACAGGCCTTCCCTATGGATGGAATAGGGAGATAAGGCCATGACCCACCACGCGGGCCCAGTGCGGATTGGTGGGTGCTAACGACTGCTGATGCAGCCGGGACCAACGGCTTAACGTGCCTTCCGAAGCACGGGGGAGCTCGAGATAGTAAATTTTTGGTCATATATCCAATGACCGACCACTGCGAAAGTAGCTTAACTTCAACGATCGCAGCCGAAAGCGCTAACCACTTGCGCCATCGAGCTCCTCCGAGCTTATTAATTATTACGTTATTATTATTCTCATAACTCTCATAATTAAAAAATAAAAATTTCCTTTGTCTGTTTCAAAAGGAAAATGTTCCGTTTTACAAAAATAAATGTACACATAAAATATGTGTGTAAGTATATCGAAATAAACAATACTTATTCGAAACTCCTAAAAACAATGTCATTTTTGACCCTAATTTTTATTATAACAAGTCACTGAAGGCCTAAATCACGCTTGAGACAAGGCTGCATGATAATTAGTCGTTTGATTTTTGCAAATAAATAAAATAAAACTGCACAGATTTCCTGACAGGCCGACGATAACAAATTATTTGTATTTATTTTTGTTTTAAAAATACTTTTTGTGAAGGGTTAATCAGAGAAATGGATGGAAAGATTCTAAGAAAATGCGAAATTGGTGGCTCTGTAAATAATTGGCAACATCTTTTATCAAATGTAGCAAGGTAATGACGTAGTAGAAGTTATCTTAATTTTCAAGATTGTGACTTCAAAAGTTACTGAGCCTTTTTTCATAGAAATTATAAATATTCTCACTGTCAGCATTAAACATTACTATGTACCTACAATATTTATACATTGCAAGGGCAGTCGCTCATACAAAATTTTACCATGTCCTTTAAAAGCCAATCAATGAATGACGACTATCTTTTATATTTCATTTTAAGAACTGTAGTTCCTAATTTGTAAATTTAAATCTCGTTAAATAAGCAATTTCCGGATTTTTTCCAGTCACGTATGATTGATTATTAAAATCTCACTGTTTTTCTATGTACTTAGGTAATTATTGGATCTTATCTTTTCGAAGCAAAGGATTTTTTTTATTAGCGTTACAATTTGTTTAAGAGGATTTTTTAAAATAAATAATGTTTATGAGCGTTGTATGATTTATCGTATTCTCGTTATCAATCGATTTCACCAATTTGACCTTTCCAAGAAAATATTCACAGTGCCAAACATAAACCGTAAAAAAAATCGAATATGCGGCACCTTAAGCTCAGACGTGTTGTGGTTTCCAATTACGGCGGATTTAAAGTCGAGGTTGGTTTAAAATCGGGCCGTTTTGCGTTGTCTAGTAGAAACAGTACCAATGCCGTACGAGTGTGGCCGGCCGTATACTAGAATTTCAATAGATCTTTATCTTTCGCAAATTCTGTACGGGTATCTGTTGTTTTTTCACCAAGTTATTTGAATCCCTATATTTTATATCACACTGTTTGGTAAATCTAAAATCCTTTCTATATAGGTACATTTGCAAATAATGAAATTCAGATTTGAAGTAGTTTCCTAAGTATTAGTTAATTATCTGACCTAAGTAAATGCAAGATTTTAAAATCTAAACAAATTGAGAAATAATGCATAATAATGATAATGAAATTACGGCCGCAAATCGTGACTTGAAATATTAATTGTAATATCTCACAAGCCGTCTCCTCGGCCTAAATACTTGTTACCTACCATAATATTATCGAAAGATCAATCTGAGCAGCTCAGAATACTGCGTCGGATATTTTTATTGCAGATATAAAATTTATCGAATACCGCATCTAAGCTATAATGATTATACTTAGATAAACAAATGATAATAAAGAACTGAAATAAACGAATAGACTTGTCAAAGAAATGAGTAAAACTTAGGTGCCTTTGGCTATTTCAGTGCTTTTTAATGCATTCTTAGCATAAATTAAGAAAGTCTATAAAACTCCAAAACCATCAACGATGTAAGGGATACAAAAGTGCAATGATTAGAGGGGTGACACTGTGCTTGGTGCGACCCGGTACAATTCAACGACAAATATAGGAAGGTGTTTCCATGGAGAGGAGGAAATATGAAGATATCTGAATAGAATTAGTTAAATAAACAAAATTCCATTGCAAAGACAGAGTCGTAGTAGACATAAAAAGAATTTCCGCTTTTATGGTTTATTCTAACCTTTGACATAGTTACGCTAGAAAATCTAATGCAAACCTAATGAAAGATAAATGAGGCACTCATGGTTTACAATACCATATAAGAAACTGACTCCACTGTAGTAAATGGTAAAACAATGTCAGTAATGTTACATCTAACTATTGGCTATAATACGGCTGCAACGGAACAGGATAGTTTTACCTATTGTTTTTTAACCACTAACGCAATGCGTAACACATAATAGCAGCCCGTTTGTCGGAGACAGGTATTTTTCTATTAATATTCCGTTGCGTCTTTAACCGGATAACCCATCGGGAAAAGGGCAGGGCAAAGCTAATGGTAGGACTTATTTCTGTCAACACCGTAAGCTTTAAATAGCAATCAATGTTACTTTTAGAATACTCTGAGAAACTAATGTTAATTCGAAAGAATATTAAAGAATTTATTTTAATAATATTAAAGTATAATGAGTTTAATACAAGAAAGCGTGTCCACGTTATGAACTTTAATTATAAGCCTCAATTCGCGTGAAGAGCTCAATAAAGCACAAAATTACTTCCTATTCCGTACATTAAAGATGGAGATTTTGCGGAATAGATTTTCGTAAGAACCCTGTGATTTAACAATCGTAATTTCATTTTGACTGAATTCAAAATTACCACAAAGTCACTTAATATAAATTCTTTGTTATTTGACGTTCTGAAATGGAAACAAAATTAAGAATAATTGTGTGTTAGAGAAATCTAATATGAACATCATTGACGAACAAAATAATCGTGATTACGACATAATGTATGTACACAAACGAGGCAAGTTGGAAAGGTGCCTGACAGCTTCCCATCAGCTCACATTGTCAATCAATCTCTTGTTGCATGTACAGTCACGAAATCGTCTTACGTGAGAATTCTTCTCAAGAAAGTTTTCGGAAGGAGGGATTCCACACTATCTTAAGGATCTGAACTTTGTTCGACATTCGTTTCCACAGAAAAGGTTGTTAGAGCATGCCCGTGAGAACCGACACATGTAAACAACTGGTGCTCACAGTGATAAATTTAACGTTTACTTACTCGTTTGCGTCTCTTACATAAATAAAGGTCAAATGAATTTAAACCTATTTGTTTTCTATGATACGTAACTTTTATTATTTAAATCTAAACACCAGTAAATAATATCAGAAATATTACTATTATGTTTGGAACAATGATATTCAGATTCTGGCGATCTGGGGCAATTATGATTTAACTTATTACCTAATAAATAAATTTCATTTCATACTGAAATCAATATTGTTTGTCGTTTTGGTATTATAACGTGTAGATCTAAAATTAAAACTTAACTTCATAGTGAAAGTTAAGAGAATCATATTACTAAAGGCCTTGCACCAATAAACAAATAGAAATCTGGTCTATCTTCACGCTACTCGCCACCGAACGTCGATTCCGTCTATGAAAACGAATACTATGATCTCAAATATCGTCTAGCAGCGTGAACGAACATGTCCATAAAACATCCAATTCATATGGTACGGACGAACGAGCTGGCTTATTAAATTTGCTGTTTTTTTATCAGAGCGAACTCATTATTGGTATATCGGAGTCATTATTTTCACCTTAGCAATTCAACATTATTAATTCTTTACACAAGTGTTCTGTGTGTGGTCTGAAGTCATTCACGCAACTGTCAAGATTTATATAATTTTTAACATTATTCAGAATTTCGATGTTTTTATATTTTATATAAAAATTAAATCAAGATTTCATAATACGTTCGTGCATCAACTAAGGAAAACAATAATAAAAAACAGAATATAGGAAAATAGATAAAAGAGAAATATCACAATAAAGTGACTACATGACTTTTAACCCGGGCTCGGTATAAAACGATAAATAATTACTTAAGAACATATGTATTAAAGATACAACGTTAATACTGTATAAAGTCATCGCAATGTCATGTTTACTAACTGGTGTTATTTATGATTTGGTCACGTTTCTCCAAGTTTAATAGGTTCATTGTGTCCTATTGATTAACCACAAAAATAAAGAATGGTATCTTTTATTAGAAGACAAATGTAATACACACATCAAAAAAAGTTTGCGATCACTTTGTTATGTTATCTCTTTTTCTGATAAGATTCTAAATTTTAAAATTAGAATTAGAACGTACAACAATAAAATAATTCAATTGTTTTTCCATATAAACAGACATGCAATCCAAGCTGACACTCATTCAGAAATCTGACTTAGTCAATATCAATTAGGAAAGTTTGTGATTTAAAAAATGCCACTAGGATTATCAGATGTTTTACGAGCCGGAATTGTAGCTCAAAGTTACAATTCTGGCAAAGGGAAGATAAAATGGAAGCTAAAATTGGGAAGAAGGCGAGAGAAATAGCACGCAGAGTTACCATATCCCAATCCTGTGTAGTAACCTCGTTGCAGAGGTACCACTGCATGGGTAATTTAGCTGACCGACCCCGCAGCGGTCGTCCAACTGTTTTGACAGCTGCTCAGAAGCGCTACATCAGGTTGCTGGTAGCCCGCGACCCAACAATAAACGCCACTAAATTGAAAGCAGAAATACGGGCCGCCTCCGGACTTGAAATTAGCTCTCAGACCATTCAGAATTGCTTACACCAGGCTTTCGTTGACGAATCGCGAATCAATACTCATCCAGATAACCGACGTGTCCGTGTTTGGAAAAGACCTGGAGACTCTGAAAGGCAAAGAACGGCCACTGGAATGGTTCAGCAAGGCGGGAAATCAGTATCCTTTTGGGGTGGTATTATGATTGGGGATATGAAGCGATGAGAACGCCTTTAATCCCTTATCAAGGCTTCAGACGGCAGACAGATACAAAACAGCCGCTATTGATGGAATCGTCATACCTTTCCTAGTAAAACATGGGCACCAATTTGTACTGGTTGACGATAATGCGCCCGCACATCGAGCTCAACGAGTCAATGCTGCTCTCCGAGAATACGAAATCACAAGGTTAGACTGGCCCCTGTCGGTTGTCCTGACTTAAACCCAATAGAGCATGCGCGGGATGCTCTTAAGCGAGCTGTTTGGAACCGTCAGCCTAGACAGTGCCGCAGCTCAGGGAAGCTGCTGTTCAGGAATGGGACAGGTTACCACAAGAAATGCTGGATAACTTGATCCTCAGCATGCCCAGGAGGATCTCCTCATGTGTTCGAGCCAGAGGAGGAGTTATTTTGTATTAGATAAACAACAATTTATTATTAAAAGGCTTTTAAGTTTGGTTAAACTATCTTTTTATTTCTATCAAAGTTCTATTACAATCGCATTAGGATTGAATTATTAAATTTTTTATACTAAAAAATAAAATTACTTTTATTTTTTAATTTCAGAAAGTGTATTTTTAAATAAAAGGGATATAACGTAAACATTAATTTTGAAAATATATCAGCTTTTGCAAGTGATCTCAAACTTTAAAATATGCATTTAATACATATTGGAGACAATTTAGATAGATAACATCTAATTACTAGCTTACGTTGATGTTATTCACGACCGTACATTTCCCACGATAATTCTGTCCTTTTAAATGCCAAGACGGTGTAATGATTTCAATGAAATTGCGCAAAATAAGATGTCTGCTGAGCTAACAAGTAGATAAAATGATTGATGATATAGATCTTATAACGACAATGTTGAATAAGCTATAACACGTGAAAATTAAAATAAGTAAGTACTTTACATGCGAGTAGCTAATGTAAAATAACATGTTGCGGCGGCTATTATATTGCGACAAGTAGACAAAAACAAAGCGAGTGTAACTTAATAGCATTGGGAACTACTGTCTGACAATTACGTTAAAATATTTTCCAAACTGTTTACATAATATTAATGAGTTGTATGTATGAACATGCAAGAGTATAAATGATAAAGTCTTGCCATGACATGAAAAGGAGATACAAATTAAAGGTAGGCGCGGCTCTTATTATGTAAGATACGTAATTATTTCCTTTTAGATTTAAAGTTACTGTTGAGGACTTCTTTAAAACTAGAGAAAGACATTTTTTTACCTAAAATTCTGATAAAAATAGTTTATAAATCAATGAACCGGTATTACCAGAAATTTACGTTGCTATGTTTATAGGCAGAATCATATTGTCTCTGTAAAAATCGTAACATCGTAAAAAGTACAAACTTTAATTACTAAGCGAATTCTATCTGAAACAATTTCATTGAAAGGCTGTAACAATTTAGAGTACGTAACTATAAAAAGTTTTTGTGTCACTAATATTATTGAATATTTATTCACCTTTCTTTTTTCGACGAAAACTAAAACCGCATAACATTTTCACAATAGCGACAAAAAAATCACTGAAACATGTAACACTTCGGGCACGATGTACAATACTGAACATGAAACAATACGCGTAAGTAGGTTTGAAACGTTCATACTGGAGTTACACAGGCTTATCGGTGTTTAACTTACAGTGCGCGTACGCTGGGATAGGTAAGTACTTGGTAAAGTAAAATATATTATACTTCTTATTAATCAACTTTTGATATGCTTTAGTTACCAACCTACTTATACTTTGTCATCTAAAAAGTAAGGCAAAAGGAAACTTACTGTCTTATTCATAAAAAGATAAAATAGGTTTATTAGTTTGTTATAATGCCTGGGTTCCTAACCTGGGGGTAATTAGCTCCTCGGGGGTAAATCAGCTATACTTGGGGGGAAACAAAGAACCTAATTATTTGGTCAAATCTAAATAATAAGAAAATACAGTACACCGCGCAGTAACGCTCAAGTAACAAGTTGCAGCGCTCCTTCTTGCTAGCGAGACCGCGGGATGCTGAGTGGGGGAGGCGGTGCAAGATTTTCTCCTGATGATGACATTATTAGAGACGAAGATGAAGCGGCCACATTCGAATTTCTTGGACTGCGCGAGAGTATTAACTTTCAAAGAAGAATTTCAAAATTTATGATCTCAGCACATTTTGAATAAGATCAAGTTAAGTTATAGCAAACAGAGCTTACAAAATGATAATACCCCTTGCCACCACCTACAGATGCGAGAGTGGCTTTTCATATTTAGTTACCTCCATCAAAAACAAATGCCAGAAACTCAGGACTTCAGATGCGCTTTAAGTGAAACTAAACGTAATATAAAAAAAACTTATAAATGCCAGACAATTCCAACCTTCACAACGATAATAATTATTAATTCATAGTTAAAATATGAAACAAGTTAAAATAGTAATACTGTTCTGTAATTTGTGATTAATTAACATATTACAATTTGCTTGTATTATTTATATTGATAACGTTTTAAAGTCGGGGTAAAATCTGTTTTCCTAATAGGTTACAGGGGTAGCAGTATTGGAAAGGTTAGGAAACACTGTTATAATGAAAATCCCGAAAAGCATTATTCATAAACGTCAAATAACGCTAAAAAGCTTTGTAAGTATTCAATAGCGGCTTCGTAACTTATAACAAGTACGACCCTACTATAAACCTTTAATACAGAGAAATATTGCCGACAAATATGCAACAGCTGATTTTTTTTGCGTCCGAACCGTTTGTTTTGAGGTTTATTTGTTAAAATTTGTTGTCGTCGTTCTTTCGTTCGTGTGGTTATTTACAAGGAGCTGTGAAGTTGAGATATTTTTTTATAAAATTGTTTGCTTATATCCTTAGCTATGCAAGCTCTGCAAGAATTACATGCTATTGAACAAGCAGAAAATGATTTTTTCACGACGTCGAAAGATTTACCAGTAGAGATGTGATCCGTTTTCTTTATCAGATGTAGAGTTCAAACGACGATACCGTTCCAACAAAAATACTATGGCCCTTATTATTGATCTCGTCAGACAAGTCTTGCAACTGGACTCCAGAGGTTGAGGAACGTCACCAGAGATACAGGTGTTAATCGCTATACGATGTGACTGTGGGGAAGTAAGGACACAAACAAAAGGGGTAACTGAATAGTTATTCCAAACCAACCTTAACATCATGAAATTTGGGACGCAGCCCACATTTGTTAGCTCTAGGTTCCAAACTATCATAGATATAACACTAGCGACACACGCGGTGGCCAATCTAATCGAAGGATGGCACGTGTCAAACGAACTTCTTTGCAGACCACCGTAGGATATGTTTCCAATTACAATACAGACAAATAGACCCTGTTCCATATCGCAATCCCCGAAAAACAGATATAGCAAGGTACATAGAACTGATAACTAAAACACTAAGCGAGATACAAATACATGACGAAATTCTTGACATAAACAACATAGAAACAAACGTACAGTTCTACACTTCAGCACTTCTTAAAAGCTACGAACTGACGTGCTCTACCATCGTACCGAAAGGCCTGGGTAAAAGTTCCTGGTGGGGGCCAGAACTTGAAAAACTACGTAAGGAACTCAGGACACTTTTCAATCGAGCGAAAAATACCAGAACCATTCAGGACTGGGACAGATATAAAATAGCACAAAAACACTACAAGAAGTGGATCAGATTCCGAAGTAGGGAAGGATGGCGTGGTTTCTGTAGTAGTGTCAATTCAACAAATTAAGCTGGCAGACTCAAGAAAGTTCTGTCCAAGGACAACTCCAACCTCCTTGGGTCTCTGAAAAGGGAAGACGGCACTTATACAAAAACAGAAGAAGAAGCCAATGCGGTGCTACTGGAAACCCACTTCCCAGGATGCCAACTGGCGCCTGGCATTTAAGTCAGCAGGACTAGATGGTATATTCCCTGCGCTACTACAATGGCAACTCGGGCAGGCAATTAGATACCTACAACCAATCTTTAGGGCCTGCCTGGCCTTCAAATACATACCAAAACCATGGAGGAAGACAAAAGTAGTCTTCTTACCGAAACCAGGCAAGGACGACTATACACAAGCCAAATCCTTCATACCAATAAGCCTAACCTCTTTTCTCTTGAAAACATTGGAAAGACTGGTAGACCGACACCTTAGGGATGGAGCACTAAGTAAGGCTCCGCTGCACCCTCAACAACATGCCTACAGAAAAGGCAGATCAACAGAGTCGGCACTGCATTCAGTAGTCCACAAAATAGAGTCGGCAATCACAAATAAAACCTCAACATTGGCAACCTTTATAGACATAGAAGGTGCTTTTGACAAAACGATGCACAACAGCATTAACCACGCCCTAAGAAAACTCAAGGTGGACCAAGTCACCCGAGGTTGGATCACCGAACTGGTCGGCAAAAGGGCGGTTCAGATAGTGGGGAACGCTACCACGCGTGCGAAGTAGTTAGAGGATGTCCCCAAGGGAGAGTCCTATCACCACTTCTCTGGAACATAGTAGTGGACAGTCTCCTACGGAGTCTGAATAACAGAGGATACACTACTATTGGTTATGCGGACGACGTAACAATTCTGATAAATGGAAACGCCGAAAATGTCCTTTGCAAGGTTATGCGTTCAGCCCTTCAGATTGTTGAAAAATGGTGTGACGAACATCACTTGTCAGTAAACCCGAACAAGACAGAGCTAGTCCTTTTCACCAACAAAAGGAAGCTACCTGAACAACAGTTACCAAAACTGTTTAATACCAAACTCTCCCTATCAACACAAGTGAAATATCTGGTCGTAATCCTGGATAACAAACTGAATTGGGCGAGTCATATTGATATAAAAACAAAGAAGGCCTGCATAGCTTTTAATCAGTGTAGAAGACTAGTTGGTAAAAAGTGAGGTCTAAGTCCACTCTCAAACTACTGCTGTGTCCAAAGATCACTCTTTGGTTATACACAGCAGTCATCAAGCCCTCTATAACCTATGGTTCAGTTGTTTGGTGGCCCAGTACCCAACTGACCACAGTGAAATCCAAACTCCAAAATCTACAACACTTGGCGAGCGTAGCAGCAACTGGATGCATGAGAACAACTCCATCGGGTGCATTAGAGTACCTCATGAATTTAAGACCATTGGACCTGGTCATACAAGAAGAGGCGAAAGCAGCAGCCTTGAGACTAAAGTCTCTAGGATTATGGAGATTAAATACTGTAACAACACACTCCAATATTCTACAAAAGTGCACGAAGGTGATCCCACTCCTGGAGGCACCTATGGATAGAATATTAAGTCAACACGTCTTTGATCGAAGATACAACATCCAACTTACCGCGGAAAAGGCAGATTACTCTGGCACCGGGGAAGTTAGGATATACACGGATGGCTCCAAAACCAACAGTGGTACTGGAGCCGGTGTCTTCTCAAACGACCTGAATATAAAAATATCTACAACCTTAGGCAAACAAAGCACAATCTTCCAGGCGGAATGTATTGGCATTACCAGAGCGGCACAGGCAGTTGCAGCCAGAGATATCAGAGAGTATAACATCAAGATCATCTCTGACAGTGCATCCGTGCTTCAAGCCCTACGTAGCAACACAATAAACTCTGTCCTAGTAATGGAGTGCCACAAGGCACTTCAATCCATTGCGGTTAGCAACACGGTAACTCTGCAATGGATAAAAGGACACAGCAGCTCAATTGGAAATGACGCAGCAGACGAGCTGGCTAAGAGGGGAGCAGACACAAGTGTATGGTCCGGTATTTTTGCTGCCCATACCTCAGGCCCAAATTAAAACGTGGCTGCGTGAAATAACTCAGAAATCACACTTGACGGAGTGGAAAACAGGTGAAGGATGCCGGCAAACGAAAAACGCGGTTCCGGCGGCAAATAAAAGTTTTGCCCGCACCCTTACCAAAATTGACTAAATAGGGACAAACTTCGCAGGGTTATAGGATCCCTGATTGGTCATTGTCCCCTAAACAAACACCTATATACAATAGGAGTTACAGACAGCCCCCTATGCATGGAGGCAGAAGAAACGCCACAGCATGTCATCATGGAATGCAAGAGTGTGGCCGACCAACGGGCACGACTTTTCCAGTCATCAGAATCGTTTCCGGAAGCTTGCAGCAGTTTACCAAGGCTGATTTCCTTCTGGACCGATATAGGCTGGCTGGAGTAAACGGGAATGTTTTTGAGACACGCAAAATGGTCCAATAATTAGGACTAAGTGCGGAAACCGCCCTGAAGAACTAACTAACCGCTATACGATGTTGGGGTCGTCGTGAAGTAAGCACGTTTACGAGTATTTTATATATCCCGCATTTTAATATACCTATGTACTTTTTAAATATCTTTGTAACATTTTAGATTCAAGATGATGGGGAAGAAATTCATGGTATGTCTCAACCATAGAGAAAAGTAATATTACTAGAATGTCTCAACCAACTGTGAGTCGCATTTGTGCCAGAGTAGCCCGCGCGATTGCTCGCCCCTCTGATACATACATAAAAATGCCAGAGTCTAATTTTCTTCGCAAAAATAACACGAAAAACCTCTGCATTAAACTAGCAATATTGACAAACAAATATCATAAGTGACGTTGTAAAT